GCGAGTCAAGAGATTTGATTACTGGGGCGGAAGAGGAAGCGGCGCCGACTGTTACCGTTCCGCCTCTCTCTCGTCGACCGTCAACCACCCCGCCCCCTTCGCTCGCCACTCTCATTTCCTTCGATCTCCGTACCCTTATCGTCGCTCACATTGCCCGTCGCGGCTCTCCGGGGCGCCGGCTCGTCGCGGTCGAACTCGATCTTTCTCCTCCTCTCTCTCTCTCTCTCTCTATATATATATATATATCGCGCACGATCGGATTATCCCCTTCGAGCGAGTCGCACGTGGAAAACGCCGAGAAATTAAAAATAGGTTCTCGCGTTTGCGAAGGCAGATTGAACGATTCGGCACTCCATGCCGTGTGTACTCGTGTTTGAACTTCGACATTCATTTGTTTTAACGGTCCGAACTGCGCCGGCACGGTCCTTCTCGTCGTGCAAAAAAGAGCCTCGAATATATGTACGTGTACGTGTGTAACGTTTCGTCGCGGGTCGATACACGGCCCGTCCGTCGTCCTCGGCTCTCGTTTCTTTCAACTCCACTCCCCCCCTCCCCCAATATCATTATCAGAACCGCGCAAAGGGTGGCATGACCGACCGACCGACTGACTGACTGACTGACCGAGCTCGACGACGTACCACGGCGATTTCCCGCAGTGCGAAGTTACTTCTCAGCCGAGAAATTGTCTCGATTTTCCCTCGCCTTCTTCCCGTCCTTTCTCTAATTATTCAAAGCTCGGCTTTCTGTTCGAAAGTGCGCGCGTCTATGTATTCGCAACGTGCGGGGGAGGAAATAGCGAAGGATGAAATAAAAAGGTTAAGAGGAAGAGAGAGAAAGGGGGAGAGAGGAGAGGCGCTGTCTAAAACAGACCATTCCGCCGATTTTCTTCTCGGTTCTTTCCCACCTTTTTTTCGCGCCTTCCTCTCCTTCCTTTTTGTTCCCCATACGCCGCGTCCTATTTACTTATCTCCGTTTCACCGGGACAACCGTAACCTCCCTTTTTCATACCTTCGACCCCTTTTCTCTTTTTTCGCGCTACTTCCGCTGTTAGCGACGGGCTACGAGAGAGAGAGCGCTCCTGGATACCTCGGCTTTTGAAAGGCAAAAAAGTTTCGCTGCAGCTTGCAGTTGCAGTGCTCACTGCTTATCGACTTTTTCGCGCCTTTTAATACGTACGCTCCGCGCGGAATATCGCGTCGTCCTTATCTACCTCTCCGCCTGATCATTCATAATTAAGTGTCCTTCTCCCGACGTTCGTTCGTCTCTCTCTTTATTATTGCGTTATTACGCGAGATGGAGTCCACGATAAATTTTGCGCGGCTCTTCCAAGAGCAGCACTTCCTCCTCGCGAGGTGGAATACGCGATTTTCGACGCCGGTCGCGAGCGATTGGCAATCATCGTATCGATCTCGGCGAAGCGCGAAAACACACGAACGATAACAACGGAATTCAGCCGCAAAGTGAGAACGGTCTGTGATGCGTCACGATCGCGGTCGAGGACTTCCGACGTTGAAATAACACAAGCGAGTTGCCGTGAATTTTTTACATACTATCGGCCTTATTCGCAAATCTCGCGAATAAGGCCGATAGTATATAAAAAACTTAACCAGCAAAACGTAAGTAATAAGGAAATTGACCAACTAATCGGTATATTTCTTTAGGTTTATATATTCTGAAAGACGATGAAAGGCAATAAATTTGACTTTAGACAGAAGTGACTGGGATCTCAACTGCATTGAAAAAAGAATTTAGTAATAGGTATTAAAATATATATAAATAGATATTTATAAATCTTAAAATATATATAAATATATATAAATAAGTACTGTAGAATATTTGCCGACCGAATATTTGATTACTGCAATCAAATAATTTAGTTCGGTATACTGTATATACAGTAATTCAGTACTGTAATACCGTATGTTCTATATTTAGTATGCGAAACTAAATTATTAGGTTGCGTTAATCAAACATTTGGTCGGTAAATATTCACCAAATTTTAGTGACTCATTACCAAATCCACTTTCAGTGTGACTGAAAGCCTAATTACTTCTGCTCAGGGTTAAATTTATCGTCGCTTTTACCGTCTTTTGGAATACGTAAATCTAAGCAAATATACCGGTTAGTCAGTAGTTTCTTTTCTGCTTAAGCCTCACTGTTCACGTTTTTATATGTCACTGTCTAAAGGGCCGTAACACACCGAAAAACGTAAGCAGTAAGACAAACAGTAAGTAACTGTAAATGACCAATTACAGTTGATTATCCTTCGGCCGTAAGGCCGAGAATAATCTACTTGATCAGTTTTCTTACTGCTTCAGTCTTACGTTTTTGCGTGTGCCATGGTCTTAAGTTTATCCCTCGAGTCGGCTCAATATGCGAATCCCAGCGATGGGAATGCAGCTGCACGCGCTCCTCCGAGAGATGAAGAAGAAGATGAGGGGGAGGAGGAAGACGAGACTCATCTCCATCCGCGGATTTCGTTGGCGGCAGTTGCGGAAACGACGTAAGAATATCGAATTCCATCGGGGGTTTTCCCCATTTCTCTCCCCTCCTTCCGTTTGTTTGACGACGAGCTCTCTCTTATTTTACTTCGCGCGAGCTTTCGACGCTTTCGCCACCCGACGTGACGTCCCCGATCGTATCCCGCACCCTGTCCCTATATTGGCCGCGATCCACGTCAATCGGCATACATCGTTTGCGCTCCGTTTCTCCGCGCTATAAAAATCCGCGAACAGGCAAGCCGTCAATCTCGTATCTCGGCGGGATTTCGATCGCAATACGATGGAGCGACGCTGTCTCGGCGTTGAAGAACGTACATCGCGGGTTCTTCGCCAATTAATCCCCTGACGATGAGATCGGGCTCGGATGCGGCTCGTTTATTTTACAGCATGCCCGCACTGTTTCCCTTCTTAAGAAATGTCTCATGTTATTATTTACTTCTCTTCCCTTTTGTACTCTCTAAATTTCCCGGAGCAACTTCTAACTTGAGAGTGGCGGTATTTTCACTCTGCTTGGGGTAAGTTTTCGCTCGCTTGTGAAGTGAAAACTCACTTGAGGCGAGTGAAAATACTGCCACTCTGGTCCAAGACTCGCCCCAAGAAATCTCGAGGGTACATTGATTGCATGGAAAATGAACATAGCCGTAGTCCGACCCCATTTTCTCGGAAATTTACCTTGCCGTTAGAGAGTTAACAAACATCGTCTCGCGCCGATCTCTGTCCGTGAGCGGGCAAGAAGTGCGTCTGTTCCGCGCGCGCACCGATATGAATGGACCGTGGAGGCTGGCCGCAGAGCCTCGGCATTTACAGCGGTCTGTACGTTGAACTATCGATCCTTCCACGAGTAGCGCGTACATACGTATGTATGCACAGCCCGACTCCCGTTCGCGAGCGGCGATGCACCGCGATTGCAATTTCAAACGGCCGTGGCGAGCTGTAATTTTCTACGACACACGCTACGCCTGTAATGCGGCACGAAGTTGCACCGCGGGCTTGTCACTTTTATTGGCGTCGCGTTACAGCGACCGACGTTCCGATAAAAATCCTCCCCGGTAAACGGGCGGGAGGGGNNAACGGGCGGGAGGGGGGGGGGGGAATAAAAGTCGCCGCTCTCTGTAAACACGAGGATCGCGCGCGACAGGTCGAGAGGGGTTTTAGTTACTACTCCGTCGCGTATAAATGACACAATTCGCGGACTATCGCTCGTTATGTTACAGCACTGGACAACCGGGATAGATCGGCGAGGTCCGCGGGTTATGTACATACATATACACATACACACATTCGAAATTGTCTTCGTTGTAACGCCGACGGCGGAGCGTGTCCTGCGCGCTCGCTACTGTGGAGAGTGCAAACTTTGGTCTCGCGAGTCGCAAATTGTTGTAGTTCTCGTTGTGTAGCTGCGAGCGCGACAAGGCTACCGTTTGAATTTAATATGTTGCCGAACTTTGTGAGAAAGAGAGAGAGAGAGACAGATAGCTACGTAGTTAGATAGCTAGAGATAGATAAATAGATAGATAGATAGATAGAGGAGAGGGAGAGAAAGAGAGGGCAACAGCAAGGCGAGATCCAGACGGACACACGCGCCGAGGCTTGATCGATCCTCCAAGTTCGACTTCGTCCGGCACACGAAGTGCATCGATCGCATGTCGTGAATTCCCCCCAGTCGCGCAATTCGAAGTGCGCAACGAGAAGTGCGACTGCGGGGCGTGCGACGATATTCTCTTCGTACATCGTGTTGCTTTCTGCCACCCTCCTGCCCTCCTCTCCTGTGCTTTGTGACACAGAGAGACCTTTCTGTGATGGAGAATCGAGAGATGCGAGAGACCGTGCTTATCGAGATGCGCGTACACGGGATGCAAAATAACGGCGCGCCTCGCTCCCGGTCACGGATCGCCGGACGAATTCGGACTTCTTGTTTCCCAACGGATGTCGGACTCGATATTCGTCGAGTGGAGATGCATGAACAACGGAGAGCGAGGTGCGCACGCGATGTGCATCCCGCGTGTCTCGGTGATTAGAAAATTTTCTCTCATATTTGCTCTCTAATTTACGTTGTCTCGTAAGCTATTCAAACATACAAAGATATATTTCCTTGATTTCTCTCCTTTTCTTATTTCTATCTGGCTCTCCTGCCGGTCTGACGATCGTCGGGAAATTTTCTAATCGCACTAAGTCGAGATCGAGTTTTCGTGTCACGTGTTATAGTACGTGTGTGTCTCTCGCAAGCGCCGTGTGTTATGTGATACAGAACCGTGTGGGTGTTGATTGTCGTCACGGAGTGAAAAATTTTCTGTAAATCGCGCTCCGCTAAAACGCTCACGTTACTTCAACACGGTGAATACGTTTAATTTAACACATATTCGTAAATCAATTTCAACATATTCCCGTGTTAAAGTGGCACACGAATTTCGGCGGACCGTTTATTTGCACAAGATTTTCGTATCGAGATCATGGATGAGTGATCATTAAACGCACTAAGGCTTATCAGTATCGTGTCACCTGTGATGGCGATCTTGCAGGACCACTTGCTGGTACCCTCAAGGACGATCTGTTCGGCCTGCTCGAGGCTGTCTATGTGCGTATCCGGGTCGACTGAAAACGTCGTGCTGAAAAGAAGACAATGTCCTCGTCATCGGATCGTCCTTCGACAACCTCTTTCGACTACCCCTCCTCCATCCATCTTCGTCGCCGTCGCCGCGTTACTCCGTTCGCGCGCTCTCGCCGAGAGACTGGCGCGAGGGGGATCTCTCCTCTCTCGGGAGGTGTCTTACGGAGGCCACCGAAGGACGTAGGATCGTGGCGAGGCGGGGAGATCGTCGATAATCATCCAACGCCATCCAGCAGCGGCGCTCATATTCAGCCTAGTACACTATAGCAAGGGTGGATGTACATTCGCGCAGCCAGGATCAGGGGTATTGTTTCCTTCTTCGACCTCTATCTCTCTCTCTCTCTCTCTCTCCCTCTTTTCCGTGTGGGATTTGCCGGTGTGTCTCGGCGGAGTGTGAAAGCAACGCGTGTTTCAAATCCGCCCTCAATCCGCGGGGGATCAACCGTGTAGCCCGGGAACTGTCTCTTCCGCGAACCTCTCGCGCGGATTTCGCGCGAGTTCGGCAAACGAAACTCGAGCACGAACAGGATGGACGCCGAGAGCGAAAGATGAAAACGTCGCCGAGGTCGACCGAAGACAACGTCGTGGATCGTATTTACATCGAGGAAAATCGACGAACCCGAGGATCCGACGAATGGAGCGTAGTGGGCGAAATTGAAGAGAGCGATTCTCGAGAATCGTGAGTGTGCGTTTTGTACAACGGAATACCATCGGGACTCTCGTCGGAGTTGCCTGGGGCGCACGGGATGCGCGAGGAAGGCGGATCGTTCGATCGATTTATCTATCGGTCGATTGGCGAAGCATCTTCGGGCAAAGGGGATTGAATTTTGTACCGTGACGGGAACCTCTCTGTCGCTACCTGTTAACTTATTTCGCGATCGTGGAATTAGCATCGTTTTGTACGGTCGGGTTGACCGGACGACGTCCGCGTCGGCCTAGAATAAGAAGACTTGTTGCTCGACTTACGTGGCCCATCGCCAACTCGGGACTTACGCCGACTTCTTGTCCCGGTAATAATCGTTTAGAGTTTAGAACGAGCGACGATACGACAACAGCCGGGAATATGCATGTCTCTATCGCTGTCGCGACAGGAAAAGGAATTAAATCGTCGATTAGAATTTTCAGATTTTTTTGCTGGCTCGCGCAGCCGGGAATACCCAAACTCGTTTAACTCTCCCTCTCCCCCCCCCCCTCCTGTCACTATTAACTTTAGAGAATCTAATTTGCTTCTCCTCCATCGAAGAATAATCGCGGCCATTTTTCGTTCGTGATCGAAACTCCCGCCTCGCTTCCACGTCGTCCGGAGACTCCGCACAAAATTATAAATTAAAATGTAATTTTGTGTGCAGTCGAGTTTTATGAATAATTTCGCATACACTCCGAGGTAATTCAATTTCATCGCGATGGACGTCTTCGTGTATCGAAACTAAGGGAGCGCCGGCGGATCGAAACTCTCTTGCCGGCCATCGGTCAACGTTACCGTTAAATTTCTTGCGGGCGAAGTGCTATTAACAAGGAGCGACCTCGAAGTGTCTTCCGTCGATTTTGACGAGTCTTGGATACATTATACAAATTATCTTATAATTCTCTCATAATGAAATATATGTAGACACACGGAATTAACTTTGAGGGGTTGCTTCGACCTCCAAACGAGAAGGAATTCGTAAGAAAAACGTGTCTCTCACTCATTCGACTTCTTACGATAAAGTCATCATCCAAGATCGCATTTTTGAAATGTACGAGTTGCAAACGCCGCGCTATAAGTAGTTACAAGCACGCTGCGGTCAGCCGACGCCTGTGTCGCGTTCCGTCCGTCCACGTGCGTCCGTAACTACTTATAGCACGGCGTTTGCAACTCGTGCGATCACAAATGCGATCTCGGGGAATGTTGTACATCAAGTAGCGCAAAACTTTTGTACAAAACTTTCCCTTCTGTACCTCTGCTACGACTTCAAAGACATTTTCTCATAATCAAATCTGTGAAATTAGTTTCAAGGGAGTCGGTTCAACCCCTGAATGAGCGAGAAAGCATTTACGAGAAAAAAAGCCACGTGTCCTTTATTTTCGGCTTTTCTGCGACTCCTTGTCGCAGGACTCCTTGAAATCCAGACCTTCCTCTCGTAAGTTCGCCTTGTAATAGCCGCGCGTAACGTTACTTTTGCTGCCACCGGCGGCGAGACGGACGATGGAAGAAAGCAATTCTTTTCCCTTTGATTCGAGGGCACAATGGTTCCGGGCATCGCGTTACATTGGAACGGAGACGGCGAATACAAAAGGGGGTAGAGAGCCGTACACCCTCTTACCCCGCTTACTTCGGCGAAACTTTTTCCTCGATCACGCGTCCCCCTCCTTCCTCTCCCGCCGTTTTTCGCGGCGATACTCTATTCGCGTGTTCTCTATTCTCTATTCTCTAATAATCGCGAAGAGAAGTCGATCGATACGCCACGCAGAGCGCTCCGGTTTGTTTATGCGAGGCGGATAAACAATGTATACTTGATGGTATTTCCTCAACAGCCAAGTAACTTCCACGAGGCCACACTTTGCACAAAGAAACTATGCTCAACTTCTGCACGGCAAAACTACACGCACCGTACTGACCCACTGTGCGCGTGTCTGTCCGGCGAACTACACCATCTATAATCCACGTGCGCGATTTATACTGCATACGATGTGACACCAATGTGAGAATGTATTTTTCTCGTCCGTCACGGGACATAGACATATTTCCTCTTCCCCTTCATCGCAATGAAGGAAACGCGTCCAACTCGGGAACCATCGCATGTCTACGTAAGAGATCTGACATTCAGAGCGAGAGAGAACGCGCAAGACGAATTCATTTCCTTCCCCTCGTCTTCGACACGCAAGACCTATTTCCACTCGGGGGCGAGCTACAGGTCGATTCAGAGTGAGCTGACGAGCGATTCGATCGACGAGGCGATGATCGATGAGCGCGCTCGCCGGTGGGAGGCGGCGCTCGCTCATCTCGCGGCAGGAAGCGCGGCCGTCCCCGATATGCCGAAGATTACAGGTGGTTGGTAGATTGCATTCGATAGACGTAGCCGTGTGTGGTATTGGCCTATCGGTCAGGGACTCGCTCATGGCAGCTCCGATACTATAGCCGCGGCCCCGAGTTTACCTTAGACAATGGCAACGGCACATACTTGCCGCCACAACAAGTTGCCACGTGACCTTAATGGACTTTCGATTGAATTCCCTCGGACGGGGGAAGGGGGCACATCGCGTGATACCTGACCAGCACGACCGCACGACACGCGGCGGCACGAGCCCGCCGTGGAAACCCGCACACATCTCGACGTGTCGTCGCATAAGCAAAGGCCAAACGTTCACCCCGGCCGAATCGGGGCGCGCCGGTCGGGAGAGGGAAAGAGAGAATCGGAATGATTTTTGTTAACGAGCGGCGATTAGCTCCGCTCGGCGAGCGAAAGGGGCTTCCGGAAATATTCCGGCCCCCGAGCGGCTGCAGCCGGCTAATCGAGATGTTGTCTCTGGAAAATCGCCGGGGCCGATTCCATTTTGTCCGCTGAAACGCGAGACTGTCATGCGCTTCGCTCCGTGGAGGAGAAAGAGAGAGAGAGAGAGAGATGACGACTACAGCGAATCGTCACGAGCGCGAACTGATGCGAGGAGCCGTGCAAACTCGATTTCGCCGATCGGCTCGTCGAAACCGGACCGGTCGCATACAGCGGCGACCGGATTGCCGTGAAATTGGAGTAGAGCCGTACCGGTGGGCAGGGGAAAAAAAGGGGGGGGGGACAGGAAGCGGAAATGCCGGCAAATGTCCAATTAATGGTGTACACTAATGATCAGCGCGCAATACCGTCACATCCAGCGGCAAATGTAGATCATAAAAACGCAGCAACATACACGTAACAGCAGCATAGCGTACACGCGCACACATACCAGTAATAATAGTAGTGGTGGTGGTGGTTGTCTGTCTGTGTTGGCGGAGGGACTCTCGAGTAGTTGCGGGAACGTGACGTTTCGAGGACTGGGAGTTGCCGCTTGCGAAAGTAGCCCGTCCATCGTACGCGGTACCGGCGATGTATTCGTCGTTATTGAGAGACGGAAATAGTCGGTCCGAGAAATGAAGTATCGTCAAGACGGTATAAGGTAATGATTACGTATAGTCTGCCATTTACAGCGGCTCGAACGGTAATGTGATGTAATGACGGCGGATCAGCGTAATATTGCAGTTATCGTACGACGGTCAGGCGTCTTTCAACAATGGTATTAAGGACGGGGGGTGGGGGGAGGGTGGTCAATCGCAATACAATGTTAATGATGTGCCCATGGCAATCAATACAACACAGCGCGCGGCAGCCACCAGTGTCTGACAGTTACCAGTCGCCAGATCTGATCGTACGAAGTATAAATGACAATAATAACGACAATATAATGAGAGACAAACGCAATCGTGTGGTTCTACGTATATGTATAAAATTGTTGTATATAATATATATGGCTTATATATATAGTATATATGAAACGATTCCATACGTATACATATATATCCGCGGGTGTATGGGGAGACAGCAGTGTGTCGCTGCACAATATCAAAATATGTAAGGCAAACGCAGTACACATATGTAACGGTATCATGTATAGGACCGTGATGCTGCGCTCGTCGCATTCGGGAGTGCAAAAGACCAGAGTTTAGGTACCGGCGAGCGCGAGCTGCCCACAAACCTGTAATAGCGATCTTCGCCGACCACTTGCTGGTACCGTCCAAAACCGACTGCTCCACCGACATCATGTGACCCGCGTGCGCCTGCTCGTCGACCCCGAAGACTGACCTAAACTCCGACGAGACTTTCTTTCACATGAGCTGTGCCAACGGCCGCGATCTCGTCCTATCTGCTTCTATCGCGCCCCGTCAAATTGTCTCGCGTCTCCTATCGTCGCGAAAAACGCGCACTTCGCCGTCTTTATACGTCCTCGTGGGAGGAAATCATCCCGGCCACGAAAAAGTTAATTTCTTTCTTTTTCTTCTTTTGGCAAGGTTGGAGGTCGCGAAAAAGAGCGAAAAGACGATGGGTAAAACGGACCGATTTTCGTCCCCGAAGTGCATAAGCAAAAACGGTGTGTTTCTTTTTGAGCTGTCGAATTTCATTCTGACCTTTAACAAATTTGAATTTGTCGGCGAAGTATTAAAAAGGTGCGAAGGTCGCGGAACGATCGCTGGCCAGGTGATCTCCGTGGGCGAGAGCTCGGGGATTTTCTTTTCTAGAATCGACCGTTCGTCAGACGGTCCCCATTCCTTGCTGGATTTTTCCGATGTTGCGAAGACCGACCGACCGATCGACCAACGAACGACCGACGAATCGGGCGTGCAGGTCGCTATTGATCGAGTCGATGGCGAAATTTTTCGTACGCGCCGGACAAACGACCTTCTAATTGAAGCGACCGGTCATCGATCAAGCCGCTAACGAGAAAGTTGATTGCCTGATAGCGCGGTATCGACGGCGGCGACAGCCGATATTCAAGCCACTTGAGCGAGTCTCTCACCCCCGAGCTCTCGTCGGACTCGAGTCCGCGGAACCTGGCATACATCTTTCGTTCGCTCAGAGAAGACGAGATCGGGGCCCTGCTTGCTTGCCGAAGACTTCGCTTGTATGTTCCTCGCATCTACATCGTCGCCACTGCACATCGCCATGTTCTCTGCCTGTGTCCCACTTAGCCGCGGATTATTCCGCATCCGTCGTCGCTTCTTGGGCGCGCTGCGGCCCCACGGACTAACTACTCAACATCACTCGGGACGTTAAATTAATCACGGTATTTTCGGCACGGGATATACGACTGCCATCGGAAATACTTCAGTGTCACGCGCCGATATTCCTCGCGCTTGCGCGAGTCGAAACGATTCACGTCGCTCTCTTCCGGGCGCGAGCGCGAATACGTAACAATCGCTGCAGCTGCTGCGCTCATTTCGAATCGCTAATTGCGCCGCACGAGGCTGAATTACGCCGGCGAAAACGAGGAAAATATCTCGAGATATTAATACTCGCCGATTAATTTGCGCTACGTGCCCGCTAATAGCGCGAATCAGGGCCGTCGGGCGCTCCTCCGTCCCGCGCTCGTTCAGCGCGCACTACGTCGTCGCGGCCCGTCGGAAACGCGGCTTGGAGAGAGAGAGAGAGAGAGAAAGATAGAGAAGAAATTATTAATATCTCTCCGTCCTTTGACGAGGCGATCGGTTAATTAATCGCGAAACACTCGCAAACACGCGTCGTTCGCAGTCATTTATCGGGGCCGGCGGCAAAAGGGGGAAAAAGAATACACATCCGTAATATGCTAATGCCGGACTAATTGAACGCGCGTATCGATCGGCCGGTTTATCGGAGTGCCCCCTTTCCAGCCCCGAACTATATCGGACTATACACGGTCTATACGTAATGCCGTGATATTAATTAACGTTGATTTTCATTAACCGACCGGCTGGCTCCGGGTTTTATCGGGCCGGCTTTTACGAAGCTCCCGCGCACGTAACTCCTCCAGCCGCCAATATATATCGCGTACATACACAGCATTTATATTATCCGCTATATATGCGAGCGCTTTCGGCTAATAAGATCGAGATGCAAAGCTCGCGCGTTAGGGAGCGCGGACGTGCGCGTGTGCTCACACGGAGATATCTCGCATAGCGAGACTTAATTAATTACGGCGGGAGCGACGGCGCGGACACACCGACGGATTGACGCAAGATGCGCAAACGTGAGATTAGACGGCTGTTATAATGACGTGCCTAAACCGCGCGGGCGTTATGCATTTAGCGTTCGCTGCAACAAGCAACCCGACGACGACGGGGACGGTTTCGCTCCTCGAAACGGCCGCGTTTCACGCGGATATCTCATTAACGCCGAACACCAGCAGCCGTGCGTGCTAACCGGAGCTCACTCGTCGTGTAACACGTAAACACACGCAAGAGCGCGTTTATTTTTCATCGGTCCGATGTACCGCCTGATCCAATTTATGCGGTGTCGAACGTTGTCGAAGGGATGTTGTGATACTACTGATATAATGGTTATATCGGCGTCGTTATTTTTTTGTTTTCAACGCCAGGTATTTTCCCATCGATATTTCCCTTCGATATTCGTGATTTCTTCGAATTATAGTACTGGTATCACTAATGTCTAGTATCACTAATATTGATTAGATGCCCGTCTCAATATTAGTATCGATACTCTTATGGCATCAAAACATCTCTCGAACAACAGCCGGCGTTATTTCCAACGGGTTGACGTCGGCGAAACACCCGCGCGATAATCAGACGCGAAGTTCGAGCTATAATTCCGCAACAAATAAATGTATAAATGTCAATAGCGATTATCGAGCGCATAATATTAATTCGTGAGATTATCTCGCACCGGCGAGGGCTTGTTTGAATTCGCGAGAATAACACGTTTATTGAATGAGCGGTTTCCCCTTTCCCACCCCTCCCTGCCTCTCCCGCGCCGCCCCCACCCGCCCGACGATCGTCGTTAAATCGATAGTATCGCGAAGATTATTATTATCACAGCCGAATGTATCACGTCGTTATACGAGCGCGTATCCCGCCCGACTCCTGACCTTCTCTCCTTGCGTAATCTATCCTCGTGCCATCCCCTCCCCCCCCCCGCCTATCCGGCGATGTGTAAAAGTACAAAAATATTGGGTACGGATACGTGTACGTAGATGAATTTTGTGACTTATTTATAGAGCTGTATTCCCAGGACGCGTTTCCACGGTGAACCCCGTACGGAGGGACTATTGATCATAGTTGCGCCGACAGTTCCTCGATAACGAAATGCGCGCGCGACGCGGAACGTGTAAAATAAATACGAGCCGCCGCGAAGACAACGTGGTTCCTGGAAGTTTAAAGACTCACGTCGAAGTCTGTTCGGCGCGGTTTGACGCGG